TGAATGTACATGTAGCACAGAAATGGGGGGGGGGGGGGTGAAATGCTGTTAACGGCGAAAAGTTAATTGATTCTTTAATTTTATGTTTTGTAAATCATACATGTTTTAATTGCTTATTTAATATTTTTATACATGTGTACATAAAACTAATTTAGAGAATCAATGAACGATACAAAATTCAAAACATGAATTTAATTCATGAGTGCGATAAACAACGTCATTCAAAATTCATTTTGATTTTTGTTTCTGATTCAGTGTTGTCGAGTTTCCTTGTTTCTTGCTATCATCAAACCCTCTAATTCTTTTGAATTTATATTTACATTTTGCAGATTTTTTTTTATTTTAAGATGAAGTCAAATGTTCCCTATCAATTAATTCTCGTGTCAGTTTCACGGGCCCCAAACCATCATTAACAGAAAAAACCCCTCCCCGGAGTATTCTTTTTAGATTTATCCCAAGAAATGTGCGTAAAATTAATAAATAAATAAATGAGTTTGGATAGATAGACTATACAAATTAAAAATTAAATAATTATTAAATCTGCACAATGTTCATAAATTGAAACTTCATTTTTTTTCTTTTAGTACTGCACTGTCCTATTTTGCTAAATATTAAATTTTTTCTATCAATTATTCGTCAAAATTAAAATTAAAGGATAATTCATTTTCAAAAACTAGTGAAGATTGTTTCTTCTCAAAGTAGTAAGTATAGTGTAGGTAGTTAGTTTGTTTATTGTGTACACTGGTAGCCGCAGACGAAGAACAATAGGTGATTAGTGCCCATTGTTACGCTGATCACTTCAATTCACATGGAATATACAAGTTGTACCCCCTTCTACCCCGGGGCCGGAGACATGTACACAACACAGCCAAATCACAGGTTGATCATCGATTTCTGATCAATGAAAATCAATTTGATCATTTAAGATTAAAATCGATCAATTTGATTATTAACTTTATTATCAAAATAATAGATTACACTAGGTCTCATATTTTATTTCTCATTTCTTAAAATTAAATTAAAAAAAAAAAAAAACAATGAGATTTTAAAACATAATTATGAATAAAAATGTTTTGTGTCATGAAATTTAATAAATCATCTATATCAAAAGTTTATGTTTAAACATCTGTGTACCTCTACACTTATACCGGCACTTGGGATTCTGACCACTAAATTTTAATCAGCCCCATCTGCTGGTTGCACATGTGGTGTGTGAACGATGTACAAGGCATGTGCATGCAGAAGTTTTATTCTGGGCCGTGTACAAACACCTACATTACGTGCAAAAATAAATAAATAGATAAATAAATAAATAAAACTCAAAATAAATGAAGAGAAAGCTGTGCCTTCATATTGAACATAATAGTAGTATAGAGCCCCTGGATGGGGGGGGGGTCAAATGAGTGCACTTTTTTTCCCTCACTAAAAGCTGCTAAGTCCATAAGAATGATCGAGAAGGATCTAGAATGTGTGCCGATGCAGAGGCAGTGCATGGAGCTCATAATGCATTATGATGTCATAAACTTGGCAGTATATGGGGAAAAAACCATGCTATGAGAATGCGATTGTGAAAAAAAAAACTTCTGCGGTACGACACTCATTTGATGTTGACAATCAGCTGACTGATGTAAACATTGACTGTCCTACTTTCAGCATCCAGTGCAGTATGACGTCATAAACGTGTCAGCGATTCAATTCACAAAGTGTTTGTCTCTGTCTATATCACACACACGTATACAGAGCTGACAATCAGCTGATTTTTTTTTTAATTAAATCATAACATAACACAGATGTTGTGTTTTCTGCATTTATTAATAAAAACAACAACAGCAACAATAATAAACAAAATACACTGTGAATATAATTTTAAATGTCCATTAATTTTTCACTTTTTTCTGCAATTTTAAGCTTTTCTTCTTCTTAGGCGGCTCGACAGAGGAGACTTGGATGGGAGGCTGAACTCTCTTCTTTGGTTTATTTACCTGGGCCACAGTGAGTGGTTTGTTTTCCTTGGTTTGACTGGGTCCTGGGTTTTCATGTATGGTTGCAACAGCTGTCCCATGCGGCTTTTTCTGAGGGTTATGACTGTCTGTATTTTCACTTCTCTTTTTTTCAGTTTTCTCGACCTCTCTCAGAAATTCCTGGTCGTCATCTTTGTATAGGCATTCATTTGCCCAGTGTCCGGGTTGACCGCATTTAAAACAAATCTCGCTCTTTTCTGGGACAGTCTGGAGCCCAATGACCCAGTTCTTTACAAATAAAGCAAGGGTTGGTTTCCTTACTTTTCTTCGGACCTTTTGGTTTTTCATGGTCCTTTGGTTTGGTACTTGATTTCATCTTGTCCTCAAATTGACTTATTTTGACTTCCAGCTTAGCCAGTTTTCCTCCCATGGCACCAAATTCGTTTGTGACTTCCTCCCTGAAGGCTCTTAGGATGTTAATGATCCCATCTAAGGTCGTCGTTAGGATTCCAAAATCTTCTTTGTTGATGGGCTCTGGTATGTTGTAGAGCCCTAATTCTAATCCAATGGGATCTTGAGTCTCGGGTAAGGCATTGTAAAATCCAAAGTCTTCTCCATTGTTGTTCATGTTTTCACCCTTTACTAAATCAACTATCTCTTGAGCCATGATGATGATACTTCTGCATGCACAAACCGAATGAGGACGATTGAAATGAAACACGGGTTTATATATACTCTTTGATATGATATGCTGCACGTGCCACAGGTAAAAAAAAATTCAGGTAAATTCTAAATCTAGTTTTTTCCAGAAAGATCTGTTATTTTCCAGAAAGATTACTCGCACGTGAGACAATAAGAAAAAAAATCAGGTAAATTCTAAATCTATTTTTTTTTTTCTAGAAAGATCTGTTAATTTCCAGAAAGATTACTCGCACGTGCCACAGGTAAAAAAAAAATCAGGTAAATTCTAATTCTAGTTTTTTTTCCAGAAACATCTGTTATTTTCCAGAAAAATTAATAGGGTATAAATATAGGCACCTTTTGTCATATTTTGGTCAGTTTTCAATCATGTCAACACCAGACCACATGACGGAGAGAGCTCAAGCTCATCATCAGCATGCTCTAACCTTACATGGATATGACTATATGATGCGATGCATAGAAAGGAATGGAGAAAAACTGACACCAGAACAACAAGAAGTGTTAGAAAGGGCTACTACCATTATCGAGGATACGGATTCATTGTGGATGCAATGTACCGGACTTTTAACCAGCCCAAATATAGGCAGACTGGCAGTCATACATTTTCTGTGCGAGAAAATGAAAACCAGTCTACCAGAAAAGCTTTACGGTGTGTCCCTAAGCCAGTTTCAAAGAAAACCTTACAGTCTGATTTGTCACCCACAAGGGGCCAAGGTTTTCCAGCTGTTACAGGAAATCGAAACCATCGAGAAAATATGTATACAGTACGGATTCAAGATGGTACAGATCTCGGAAGTAAACAGAATTCTGGAGCAATGGGCAAAATTGGAAGCAAACGTGTAACTTTTAACACCACCCAGAATCAAATTTATCATTTGCCTCCAGAAGACAGAACAAGTCCCTGGATGACTCTAGCGGCTGATCGGTTTCACTTTCGTCGGAGGATTCAACATTTAGAGACATTGTTAAAACCCATTTTACAGAAACGTTATAATGAAAACACCAATGATCTGTGTTAGATGTTATTATTACTGTTGTTGGTTTTTTTTTGTATTTTGAAAACTGTTTTTGTGAAAAATTTAATAAATAATGGGATAATATTGTTTGTGTATTTGTGTTTTATGTTCCAAAAAAAAAAAATAATAATAATAGTAAAATTAAAAAAACTTAATAGCAATAATAAAAAAAAAAAACCCCAAAGGAGCTGTCAACAAGGACATTCGTCTGCTGTGTATACATGAACATCCGGGTTCTTCATGTCCGTTATCAACAATAGAAATTTAAAAGAAAATCATTAAAAATTACTATGTTGGTGTCAAATTTTATTTCAAAACGACTAGACATGTCTAAGGATTCTTACCATATGATTTATGACTCAAAATACCCCTTCTAAGCTTAGATTTCTATATTTTTACTGTATAATGATGTTCGTGTGTGTGTGTGTGTGTGTGTGTGTGTATGTTTGTGTTAGCACAGAATTTCAACGGTTTAAAACATAACCCAAACAGACTGTAACTTATGATGTGTGTACAAAATGTTTTCTTTCCTCACACGATTGATTGGGTTCTAAAACATAAAAGGTAAAAACCTTCTAAAAATCACCAACGGACTCTCCAGACCTTCAGCGGAGCTTTGTTGAGTCTACATTTTTTTTTTAAAATTTACGATTTTACAACTTGCCAGCTGAACCTAAAGTGTATACAAAATGATTTTATCGTCATAACACTCTTTCGATCGCAAACATAAACGATGAGAAGTCCCGATTTAAAAAATTACTATTTGGCTCTATATATTTCTATGATTTCTATACGAAAAAAAATGGCCGACATCCAGGCCCTGTGTGTATAGACCAACCCACGCCGTCTGTATTTCTTCCTTTAGAAGAATTGTTTCGAACTAAAAACTATATCAACCTGTTTCACTATGTCCTATCTCCTAATAAAAAGTGTCTTTTCTTTCTATCTCACTCTAAGAAAGCTACACTAGTCTTTTAGGGTATCAAGGTCAGTGCTATCGACCCCCCATGCTTCCACTATTTTACTTAATTTCTAAGTCACCAAATAATGTCATGTATCAAATATACTATCAAAAGATGCAGGAAACTTACCTTTTTTAGACTTGAATCATGATTTAATCCAATTATGAACACACAATAAATATTCCATCAAAATGTACGTATTGACAAACACATTTGGAAATCTACCTCGGCTTGCTCACTAGGTTACATCCGGGCTTTTAGGGTGCTTTCTTTAACGTCCGTGATTAGTCAATAAATAGGTCGAGCAGGCGGATCTCAGTGTCATTTGTTATCTTCACGGATTCCGAGAGGACAGAACCATGGCACATCGCGGACCGTTTCCGCACTTTGGTCTTTTGGAGGGACTTGAGGTCGTTATTTACGTGGCCTTGCGGGGTGTACTGACGGGGCAGGAGTTTGCTCGATGGCCAGTAGCGGGAGTGGGGATGATGGATCCGCCACCAGTATCAACAAGAGCGGACAGACGGAGGGCTAGGAGGGCCGGGCGCCCGTATTCGACACCCCCGGCCTTAGGACCGCCACCACCACCACCGTCACCGACTAGCCCAGCTTCGCAACCATCCCTTGATGCTAGACTGCAGGATATGTATGGAATTTCGCCCCCGGCCTCTCCTGGACCTTCTGTTACCCTGCCAACATCACCACCAAATCCACCAGTATCGCCACCCAGAAGCCCGTCGCCCCCACCGCCCATCATTAATGATGTTTTGCCAATCTGGGGAACCCCTGTGGGAACAGAGACCATACAAAGATGTTCGGTTTGCTGGGCTGAGGACGTCAGTACTTACTATATCTGCAGGGAATGCCTGAATAGACCTGCTTGTGAAAGGTAAATACAATTTGTAGATTTTTTCTTTTATATTTCTTTAAATTTAATTTAATTTTTTTTGGGGGGGGGGGGGGGGGGGGGGGGGGTATAAGATTTTTTAAAAAAAAATTATGAATTAATTTTGAATTTCAATGTTTAAAAATTCAGTGATCTAAAAAAAATGTTATATGTATATATATTTTTTAAATTGTAGATGCACCAGAATGCTTGTCAGCAGAGAGATGAATTGCCCCATATGCCGCTATGGAGGCACGAACCCCCCCACAGGAGGTGCAAGAAGGAGGAGGAGAGGAAGAAGACAGGAGTGAGGGAATGCCAGTAACAGCAGGCCAAGACTGAGGCTAATACCATCAGGCCCAGTCTTAAACCCCACGGTCCTTTTAAGGACCACCCACATTTTTAGAAAAGATGCCTTCATACAGGTGTATATATAGAAACGAATGTGTCAAGAAAACACCAGGTCATACCCCCCTCAAATATTTAAAAAACAAACTTAGAATATTTTTGTTCATATTTTTTTTTTTCAAATTATTTTTTATTACACTAATTTTTTTCTTAGTCCCCCCCCCCTTTAAACTCACAACTCAAATAATAATTTTTTTTTTTTTTTTTTTTGCAATTAATTTTTCCCCTTTCATTCACTAAATAGTTTTCTCTTTAAAAAAAAATGTTCTCCCTTAAATTCACTTGATAGTTTTCTCTTAATTTTTTTTTTTTTTTTACTAAACTTAATAACACTTAAAATAAATTCTCATTATTCATTTTTTTTTCTGTGGTAAACTCATATTATTTATTAAATTATAACTCATCACACACACATTTTTTCTTTGGTTGTATATTTTTAAATCATAAGAACACACCTGTTTTTGTAATATTATTTTATTAAAACAACAACAATAACACATTACAGTGCAAGGCATTATGTATGATGAAAAATGTACACATGTTTGTCATAAGTGTGTGCAAATTGTTCAATATATTGTCTATAATGAGTCCAATTTCCCCCACCTAAATTACATCCAATCTTGTAAGGAAAACCAAATGTTTTATAAGGTAAATTTCCCAATTCTTGTAAGCAGGTCTGAAACCAATTCTCTCTGTTTTGGGGGGTATCCTCATAAGTGGAGATTCTTTTAGGTCTGTGACTTGCTCTGCCATAATCCCATTGAGCTAGTAAGCAAATGACCACGGGTGTTTGTGAGGTAAACACCCTAATAGTTCCTGGAATTCCTCTATCTTCTTCTACGGCTAAATTTCTAGTCCCTATAGGTTTGCGAGTCGCATACACATTCGCTTGGGGGAATTTCTCCGCAAGACTTTGACTCAATCCATGAGCTCTGACTGTTAAACAGTTACACTGGTGTACAATAACTTCTGTATCACTGTTAAATAAATCTCCTTCCATCTCCTGGAGACTCATGGTTCAAACTAAATGTTCATGTCAAGTCATTTCCCTTTTTATAGGCAATAAAAAAAAGCATTGGTTTAAAAAAAAAATCATTTTTTTAAATTGTCATTATCAACCAGTTTTCCTCAATTTATTTATTTTTTAAAATCATTTTTTTTTTTTTTTTTTTTTTTTTTTTGGCTGAAGCTGTCACTCCTAAACAAAATAGGCAAATCTAACAAAATGACATGTGTTTGTACAATGCTTAATATTTATTTTATTTTTTCATTGTATTTATGTATACAAACAACCCACATCCAAAAAAAAAAAATTCTTTTGTGTATTGATAAATAAAATGTATGGTTAAAGGGGGATAACCTACTTTATAAAATGACCAAAAAAACCCACACATCTTTTTCATTTTTTTAAAAATTGTATTTATGTATACAAACAGCCCATATTCCAAAAAAATAAATTCTTTTGTGTATTGATAAATAAAATGTATGGTTAAAGGGGGATAATCTACTTTGTAAAATGACAAAAAAACAAAAACACATCTTTTTCATTTTTTAAAAATGATTTATTATTTTTTTTTTTTTTAGATCTAACAAACAACAACAACAACAAACAATTACAACACATTTTGATAGAAACATTGACAAGTTTGTCCATGACCCGTAGGTAATTTATGATAAGTGTCTTTAAACCAACGGGCAACAAAATGATCTCTTTGTAAAGCCGTACTCCGGTCAAACGGAAATAACCATTCATCTGCTTTTTTTCTCTTCTTGTCTCTTTGATGTAAATAATACACGCAATATTGTCCACACACATCTGAATTCCAGTCTTGATATCGATACGGATTATAAATCCATTGGTAAGCATGACGCTGGATAAAGTCTTGAATTTCTCGATGTAAGGGAGGAAATCCATAAGAGTCAAAATATTCCACCACTGGACTGCTCACATATAGACACAACCAGTGTTCTCCAGGTCGATCTTGAGGATCCGTATTGACCACGATGGCTTTTTCTCCAGGTCTTAATTGATCCGGTAATAAATCTAAAGGGTACACTCCACCAAAAGAACTCTTTAATTCTCTGGATAAGACTTCTCTTAATTGTCCCGTATCCATTAGTAATCAATACTCACTTCTCTCTGTTTGTTAATTTCTAATAGGTTATCAAATTCTGCATAAACCACACAATTTAAGGTGGTAGCCGTGTTGTTGGTAAACTGAACTTCTACTCTCAGATTTCCAGTTTCTATGATGTGGAATTTATCCGACTGCGCCTCTTGGTCTTTGGTGAAATCCCAGCCCCACAGAGTGTATCCGTTTTTATACTCTTCTAGAGTGATGTCCGGAGCCCAATCTTCTCCTAATTTTCCCAGGGCTTGATACAGACTGAGATAAGATCTCAGATATAAATCGTCATTGAAATTGGGCTCAAAACAACGAGTACTCATGGTCTCTCCGTTGATACTGACATCTAATTTCTTAATCCCAAAGTTTTGAAAATGAAAGGGATTTTTAGTTTGATCTCCATTAAATGCCGCATTCTCCACAAAGCCTAAAATGAGACGTTTAGGCATCTGTCCTTGAAACAGATGATCCGTAATCTTAGATTGGGTCCCTGTGGCGATGGTAAAGGTTTTCACTTCTACTCTTCTCAATGGATATTTAGCTCTGTGGGTGCTCAAACTTTGATTAATGGCATTCATCATAACCGCCGTGGGTTTGACTTTTCTCACCCACAAGACCATACTCAATATTTTCACTTTTCCAGTACTTCCTGCCTTGATCATCATGTAGAAAGCGGGTCTAGCTCGATTAAATCGCAAACGGACGTCCACTCCATTGGGTAGAAATCGATCTTGTTGAAACAAATCCAAATGTAAACCATCTAGCAAACTGATTTTCTTACTACCATTGATGGCTTTGTGAATTTTTCTAAATACTTCGTTTTTAGAATTGTCCGGTAACTCTGTGAGGATGGGTTGGTTAATGGTCACTGTATCGGCACCACCATTTTGACCCGGAGTTACATTAAAGGTTTTATTTTGAGCTACACCAAGGTCATCTAACCCCACTTCGTCCATGTGTCCTGCCGTATCTTTTTCCCACAGACTACAAGCCCTCGTCTGTGTCTTTAAAGTTCTGGGTCGGTAAGACAATAATTTCTCCAGATAAGCTTTGTAAGGATAGGTATCCGTCCCCGGAGTCACTATTTTGCCATTCAGACTGACATCGATTTCCGTAAACATGGAATGTAAGATATTATTCACTGGGCTCGAAGTGCTGTTAGCCCCAGTTAGATTACTTCCATCGTCTTTGGTAAATTTACATACCATTTGAACATAGGTTTGAGATAAATCTAGATAGTGATCTCCTTGTCCTTTAATTTCAAATTCGATAGGAGCTGTCTCCGAATCTAAAGTACTGGAAATGGGGTAATATTCTTCCCATTTAGAGTCTTCTAAAGCAATATTAGTCGGAGGGACTTCAAACAATTGTAAATTGTTCATTCCACACGCACAGGAATCGGGTTGCAACATGATGTTTCTACTAGGATTTAGTATTCACAAATGAACCTTCTGTTCAATGGACTGTCCTATTTATAGTCTCTCTCTCTCAGTCAAACACATCCAAAGGACGTTTTCTTTTAGGATTTCCTCCTTGTGTTTTCCTTTTTCTCCTAGGACCTCCTCGGGCCAACATAGGTGTATTTCTTCTTCTTTTCTTAGTACTTCCCAGATTCATTCTTTGCTTCACCATTCCCGAGGTATTTTTGAGAGCTTGTACTCCATGAGTTTTGACTGCGTCTTTTAAAGATCTCTTATTTTCCAATACGTCTAACCCCGTTCTGGCAGCAGCAGTCAAGGCGTGTTTAGCTCCCGTTTTCAGTAAATCAGTAAAAAATCCTCGGCCTCTCTGTCGTCTTCTTTTTCTTCTTGTTATTTTAATCACCATTCCCGATCCTCTCTGTTTTTTCATTCTCTTTCTTCTTCTTTTCTTAGTACCTCCTAGATTCATTCTTTGTTTCACCATTCCCGAGGTATTTTTAAGAGCTTGTACTCCGTGAGTTTTGACTGCGTCTTTTAAAGATCTCTTATTTTCTAATACGTCTAACCCCGTTCTAGCAGCAGCAGTCAAGGCGTGTTTGGCCCCGGTTTTCAATAAATCAGTAAAAAATCCTTCCCCTCTTTGATAGTTTTGGGGTGGATAATAGGCTGGTGGTGGTGGTGGTTGCTGTTGAGCCCCTCCCAATAATCCACCCACTAGATTGCTGACTAAGGGACCTGCTACTTTAAATAGGGATCCTAAAAAACCGTGTCCTTTTTGACGTAATAAACCTCTATGATAGACAAACTGTCCGTGTCCTCTTTGTCTCAGTAATCCTGGATGATATTGCATGGTTCATGTCTCTTGTTTAACTGACCTTTCTGTCATCAGGGACTTCCTTTTATACCCTCAGTATACTTTTCTGAAATGAAGTTTCACTACGCATGTTAACTGACCTTTCTGTCATCAGGGACTTTTTTTAGGGCTGAATACAATACAGACAGCAGACCAGGCAAGCCACCACACCCAATAAGATGGAACACAATAAGGGTACACTCATCTCAGTATACTTTTCTGAAATGAAGTTTCACTACTGATTTGCCACTTACAAAGGGCATGGGAGTCCCTAAAGGAGTCATGATGTGAATCTCAATGGTATCGAAATGTTTTTTACTAAGTTTCAAATATTCCGCTCGAATGGGTTCCCATTTGGCTTGTTTTGAATCCTCCAAATGAAATGTACAAGGCACCACTCTTAATAATTTCAAGGCATTGGAGCCTACCGTCTGGGGTTGAATCAAGTCACAATAGACATACATGGATTTCAGATTTTCATATAAATCCACAGTTTTGTTTCCCAAGTAACTAATGT